GGCAGCTCCCGCCGCCTCTCCCTCACCCCACGTCCCAGTCTGCTGGCTCCGCGCCTTCCACACCCAGGGCCCGGTGACCTTAGCCTGGGGCTGGCCGGGAGCCGGCCTCCACCTCCCCTTGTTTGGGGGTTTCCCTCGGTTGACCCTGGTGAAGTGGCCGTGCACTGTCGAGACCATGTCTTTGGTGCTTCCAGAGCCTTCCGTCGGCTCTCCTCCATCATCTTGCCTTGCTTAAACAGGCTGTTATATTAAAAACAGACCTAAACCCCAGCTTTGTTTTGAAAAAGTCAGCCTGTGCAGCCATAAGTACTGGTTCTTTTCTTTCGGCGTTTTGCCCTTTTTCTGCAAAATGATGATTTGTTCATAAATGTCAATATTTACACTGGCATGCTGTAGAGAAGAAATCATCCTATGAAGCATGAAAAACCCAAAACTATTCTAGCCTGAGGGGTCTGGAGGGATGATTTTGCAATGTTGAGTGCCTCATCTCAATGAAAATGATGTTTTATTTGTTGGTTGCTGCTCCTAGTCGCCTTCCTCCCTGGGAGTATATTCTGCTGGCATATAGGCTTTCCTTTTAGGAGTAATGAGAACCCCCGGTGTATGTTTCAATACTGTAAGACCTCTTGCTTCTCAGGTCTCTGGAATTTGCTTAAATGAAGAGTATACCATTCTTCTACATCCAAAAGCAGGCTATAGGGTGTTCAGTGTTGCATGGTATATGGACCATATAGTCTCAACATTTTCTCCTAACTAACAGAGTACAGTCAATTGTAAGTGTTCTACTTGCTGATAAGCTTTTGTGATTGAGCTGATTTAAATGAATCCAAAGTGTAAGTTTTGCACAAGATATTTAACTGTTTTCTAATCTCCTGGTTAGTTTTCTTTCCCTCGCCTTTCCACTGTCTTCATATTTAGATTAGAAGGTACATTTTTTAATGGTATAGTTGATGATGTTTTACGAGCTCTTCAGGCTCTACCATTTATGCATTAGGGCTTTAGAGGATGGTCGTTGGCCAGTGTTTTGCAGATGGTCAGACCATTATCCTGTTCTGGTTTTAGGTCTCAGGACAGAGAGTACAATTTAGATTACACTGGACAGCAAATTAAACAAACATTCCCTTTAATTTGCTCTCTTTTGTACTAACAAGCATAATACCAAGGCAAAGATAAGATGAAATCAGTGGTATTCTTCACCACTCATAAATATAGGGTGAACTATTGCATATAACAGCCTTGCTGCAATAATGCTTGATGCAAGAAGACTAAAATCAAGTTTGCATAGCAGACCTCTAAATGTGGAATTAACCTTTTCCCGGCTTTCTTGTCCTGGAGAGTTTATACAGTTCCTCCCCCTCAAATCTACCTGTTGCCACTGCAACTGTTGGAGAAAGCTACTTTAACATAAGCTGAAAGAAACACTTTTTCTATTTCTTCTGCTATTGCATCATTACATTACAGGACCCATCAGCATAGGAAGTTGTGAAAGCCAGAAGCATAAATGTGTTCAAAAGAGATTGCACACGTTTGTGGACAACAGGTTCATTCATAACTATTCAGCCTAATGCAACTTCTGGCTCAGGAAGTCTGCACATCAGTGATTACCAGAAGCGGAGAGGGCAGCCAGAGGAAGGACCATAAGTATGCTTGACATGTTGCTGATAGTCTTTCTCTCAATCTCTGTCCCTTAGCAGATGCAAAATGAGAGGGACTCTTGAGTCTGATTCATTATGGCCATTCTGCATCTGCTTGACAAGACATGCAAGTTTACAAACGATACTGATAAGTAAGTTATTTTATATATTCAAGTAGGCATTAGGTTCATTTCAAATCATGAATAGTGGTGTGGCTATCACATGTCACATATCTAAGATAACAAAGGAATGCTTCAGTAGGAAAATGGCACAGAGGGATTGAGGAGCAACAACATGATCTGGAAATGCTCTGGTTCAACATCATTAATCCATGTGCTTCTTCAACCAGTCAATATATTTGGATACCCTTGTGTAAACCCCATAGCTGCCTTTAGCAGCACAGCCCTTTCCCCAGCTGACAATCCCAGTCAGAAACCAAGTGTTCTTGTACTTTGTAGCATGAGGTCCACCACTGTCTCCCTTGCAGGAGTCCTTAACGCCCGTCAGGTCTCCTGCACAGAACATATTCTCTGTAATATTTAAATCGGTCTCCTTTTCACATTCTTGTGTCTTTACCCGTGGCAAATCAACTCTCATCAGAACAGAAGAGGTGGCACCTCCATCTAGTAGGCGTCCCCATCCGCTCACTCTGGAGAACTTGATGGAGGACAGTTCATACACTGCAAACCGTTTTTCAGGCAAACATATTGGCACCACGTAGTCAGTGAGATTCACGGGTGTTTCCAGGTTCAGGAGGGCAATATCGTTATTGACTTGTCCATATATGTATCCTTCATGAATGATCATCCTGGCAACTCCACTTTCTTGCTCAGTTTTCTCATCGTAATTTATTGCGTGTTCACCTGGAGAAGAAGTTATTAATCAGAGGTCATGTCAGGCAGCTCCTGGATTTTTCAGAAGTTGGGAGAGAGAGGGGGTTTCTAGTCTGATACTTATTAAGGACAATTCCTTTATTCTACCAAAACCTGCACTTACTGTCATTTACTCTGGTTTGTCAGGGTGAGAAGTTGCCACCACAACCACAGCTCGATAACATGAGGAGGGGAAGATACATACCCAGTCTCACCCGAAGCTGTTCAGGATCGACATACTCCAAACAGTGAGCTGCAGTGACCACCCACTCTGGGGAAAGCAGCGTACCGCCACACTTTTCTTGCTGATTCTGTATTAGAAGGGCCTGCCAACATAAAACAAATTTCTCTCTTACATTAAATGTGCACTTGACATCAATCTCAGTAATCAAGTTTTATATTGCTTCTTTTTTGTCAACTCTGTGCAACTGTGTTTGAGAACACAGTGCTGATTGTCTGGAGAATTTAGAAGCGGGGAGACTTTCCATTGACATTTTCTCAATCTTCTAGTATAGACCCTGCCTATTATGGCCAAGAACATATCCCAGCAAGCTGCAGCTAGCATTCTTGCTGGCAATAAGGTTAAGGACTAAGGGGTCAGGAGATAAGAGGAGGTTGTATTACCACTCCAGTCATATGAAAGCAGGCACTCCAGAACAATGCCAAGATGCATGATTGAAACAGGTGGATGTCCTGGCTATGGATTAAGAGGGAATTTGGTTATCCAGACCTGGCACTTTTTATGTATTTTTAACATAATAGATTTAAAAGAATTATTTTAAGAAAATTGGAAAAAAAAAAAAAAAAAGCAATGAAGGATTTCTGAAGACTCACTTGCCACGGACATTCACCTGGAGGACAGATGAGACCACCTACTATTCTCCCTCGTGCAATTGCATTTTTTTTCTCCAGCACTGGTATTTTTCCACATGGGTATTTCACTGAAAAAAAAAAAAGGAAAAAAAAGAAAAAAAAAACCCCAACAAACAAAGGGCAGCAAGTGTGATTTTATTGCACGGGGTTGACAGCAAAATGTGCAAGGTCTTCAGTGAAAGTTATGTGAGGTGAAAAACTGGTTTCTAGTCAGGGAGCATGGGTTCTCAAAAGTAATTTAAAGCAGCTCAGTTGGTCTGTGTGTTTGGAAACAGGCAGAAATGCTTTTACAAATGGAGTACAGGCCCATACAGTGTCATTGATGTATATTGACCTACCACAGGAGTTTGCAAACGGTATACCTGCCTAAGTTATGTGTCAACACAATGAGGTAGGCTGCAGGCTAGAGAGCCGAAGTGACTCTGTCAAGCTTTGTAGTCTATGTATTTTCAGCAACCCTGCTGACTTTAACTCCGTTGTACTAAGTGCACAACATCCATAGCATGGTGAGACACAGGCTTAAGCATGGGACGTGCAGCTTGCTATCCTTGTTTGCATGCACCTAAAGATCTCCTAAGAGCAGACATTACATCTTCTGGTATGCCTCCTGGCAGACTGTGCCTAGTTTACTTGGGTCCAGAGCATCCCTGATTCTTCCAGCCTGTACATCTCAATCTAAGGTCCCTTTTTAGCCTAAGCAGGCATGTGAAGATTGGCAATTAAGAGAATCAAATCTTGAGGACTGAAGCTGTGACTGAACTGCAGTGCAGGGGAAGCCTTGGTGTTTTCAGTACATTCTTCACCCAACAGAGTTTTCCTTTCAAGAAGAGGATGATCTACCTTTGGGTTTTTTAATGTGTGCCATGTGTCTGTGCTGTAACTGGACACACCATCCCTTTCCATCCAGCAGTCACTCTGCGATAACACTGTGAGGAGGAGTGCTCACTCCCCATCATTTTGGGAGTCAGGACCTTATAGTTTATGCTGATTTCAATCCAGCGTCTCCATGGATCTGTAATAGCCTGAACATGCTGATTACTTCAGCAGATGCAAAGACAGCATCAAGCGTTTACAGGTACAGGCAAGGTATGGAGAAACAGGACCATCTCTTTGGTGGCAGCTGGTGAAAGGTCAGCACAAGTGTACACAAATCCATACCTTCTAACACTGTATACAGGGCAACACAAGTTTGGGCATTTGAAAGGGACATTGTGAGAGGTGACAGAAGGACAGTGAAGGGATCAGCAGTCTGGCAATTACACAGTTTTATCTCCTTGCAACACAAGGTCAGTGCTACAGGTATTTTGGTCTCCAAGAAGCAAGGAGCAACAAGCACATCTTCCTCGCAGGGGAAGACACGCTGAAAAGCCTGTAGGGAATATTGATTTTGTTGTTCTTCAAGAGCAGCTTCCCCATCACGTGATATTGCAGAATCTGCTAATAAGGGATCAGGACATTACTAGACATTGTTTTCTACTGAAATTGCTGTTGTTGAGAGTGAGGTTGTCATTGTCAGTTCTCTGCATGAGTGCTCCACTGAGGTGTGTGTAGTGGGGCATTACCCCTCAGAATTACTTTGCATGCTCCCTGTCTGTTATTTTTGTATCCCCAGGGGTCTCTTTTTCTGCTCTCATAAAGTAATTGAAGTAGGCACCTGCAATAGAATCAGGTGCCAGCTTAGGTATTAGAAAAAATAATTAACTTGTGCTGTCTGAGTCCCAGTTTAAATTTACTTTATTAGATGAGTAAGACAGATATCTAGCCATAGTGTCTAGAAGAATACCAAAAGTGGATTGGTCCTATCAAATAGGAAAAAAAAAAGGAGAAAAAAAAAAAAGAATAACTGAATTTCTCTGGTTTTAATAGGCCTCTTCCTCTCTTGCCTCCTGTGCTGAAATAAATATGGTAATAAAATCTATAGTTACAAATTCAGATTGGAGATCCAACAGTAAAACAATGCTGCCCCAAAAATATTTTCCCAAAATATTTTACCTCTGGGGCCAGGAAGGAGGGGTCCAAAAGGCTCTCTGCTCACTGTGCACACATTACTGACTGCTTTTCTGGGGTGTCTAACTTCCACCAGAAGCCTAAACCTACTGCCCTGGGCTCTGCCCTTGAAGTGGGAGTTGGTGGTTAAGGGTTATACCTTACACCTCCTGATGGGTACGTGATGAAAACTTTTCTTCCATTTGTAATATAAATTTGTATGTATGTGTTCATGCTCCGGCAGGGGGATTGGACTGGATGATCTTTCGAGGTCCTTTCTAATCCCTGACATTCTGTGATTCTGTGAAAAGACTTAGCATCAGGCTAGTAATGTCTTACCTTGGGGAATGCAGGACACGCCATCGCTCGCTAAAGCGTAATCGTCCGCACAGAAGCACACTCGTTTTTGAGACTGTTCGTCAGTACAGTACTGTTCACAGCCACCGTTGTCGTAAATGCACTTCAGCTTGTCAGCCACAGCTAATGTCAGAGAAAGAGTATTTAGGTTTCCAAATGTGGATTTTGGTGCCAATGAGTCAATTGCAACTTGAAATAGTAACAGGGAAGCAAGGCAGCAAAGCAGATTTCTGTGATTTATTTACAGCGACTGCGTCAAAAGCGCCTTCCATTTGGCAAAAGCTAGGTGGGCCTGGATCTGCAGGGATTAGGGAAGGCTACACTTAAGAAACATACACCTAAAAGTTAATCAGTCTGCATTTATACAGTATCTGAGCTGTCTAAAGGATGGAAGTGTTATAATTGTGTGATAACCATTGTAATATATGACTGAAAAATCATAACTATTTTGTATTTTGCCATTTGGCAGAAGGATACTTGGGATGAATGTTGAGACTGCCTGGTTAGGCTTCATAAGTGCCTAGTCCTTGTTCAGGCTCAGCATGTTCTGAGGGTGTAAATGGAGCAGTCAATATGCAGTGCCCACTGAAATAAATGGAAAGACTTATATTGACTTCATTAACCGCTGGGTCTGTCCCCTCAGGCTTTGTATGATACGTACGCAGTGTCGTACTGCACCGTGCTTTTAAGTCAAAGTGACTTCAGCACTTGGGTAGGAAAAAAATAAATCCTCCTTTTCTCTCAAATGGTGCAAAAAAGGCAATTATTATTTTTTTTTTTACGAAGTCATCATAGGGTAATAATTATTTTGCTGCCTTGCAGTGCCTGACTGCCAGCTGGTTAGATCCATCACACAATGCCACGGGCAGTGTAAACAGTAGCTGTCACTGCTAGAATGATACAGAATGATAACGATTGGAGTGCTCCTGTTTATGTCAGTGCCTTGCATTTGAATTAATAATGATATTTTCATTTTGTTAAGCTATGCCATAGCTGACCTTTTTCACAGCTTTTGCCCTCATATTCAGTGGGACAGCGGCACACGTAATCCTGAAACTGGTCGTCACAACTCCCGCCGTTCTGACAGGGGTTGGAGTCACACTGGTTGGGGTCTGTAAAAACATTCAGTGTCAGTCCAGCTCACGTGAAGAGCTGCAGCAGTGGGAACATTTTCACAGCTACTAGGACATCCCAAATGATCATACCGGAATAGATGTGCCAGAACTCTTTCTGGAAGAAAAAGATGTGAGATTTAATTAGAGAGAAATTAACATAGGTCTAGGTCCTACAGCCCTTGTAGCACAGGAGGGGTTACAGGCAAACACAGTGTTGCCCCTTCTGCCTTTATAATTTATGACAGTTGATATCCATAAAAATTCTACACTATTTTCTAGATTCTACATTATTGTCATATATGAATAGAGAAGGGCACCGTGTAACACACAAAAATAGGTTATCCATCAATAACCTCCATATAGTTGAGGTAGTTGAGGTGGGCTTGACTGAATCAGATGTTGCATGATACAATAATTTAAAGTATAATCAGGCCAGGAATTACTGGGGGCCTGGGAAGATGACTTAAGAGAACATCCACTTCCCCATCATTCCCCAGATCGGCACTGCCTGGGGCATCCCATGCAGTATGCCCTCCTGCAACTCACTGCTGTGTGTCCCCCTATAAATATAAGAGGAAGAGGCAAACAGCAGGACACAACGTGCTTTTTTGCTCTTGCAGTTTAAAGTGACAAAGCACACTCTGGGGAGTCTGTCTGACAGTGAGTGCTCACCCAGCCCCGTGTTACTTACTGTCCTTTCGTCATCTTGGTAAATCTCTCTTGCTTCCTCAAAGGAACAATTTTCTTCCATGCATTCTCGCTCTAATGACCCCAGCTTTATCTCTTCGAAGAAGCTGTTGGCTCGTCTCTGCCTTTGCAAAACGCTGCTTGCCTCTTCCTGCTTTAGAAAGACTGAAAAACAGCAGCATGTTCTGTTTGTCGTACAGCTGCGCTCTCCAGGCAGAGAGGACAGGGGCACGATTTCCTCTGAAAGCTTTTCTGCTTCCCAAGCTTTTTCTGAAACACTTTAGAAAAGAAATGGGTAAATGGGAAAGAGCCTCCTTTCTCTGGCCTACCTCCCAGGTAAAGTGGCAGCACACGAGCTTATGCCCAGAGCTTAGGAAAAGATGGCACACTGCACCAGTGTTGTGTGTCAGCAACTCTTAAGGTACCATTGCAGGTCACGTAGTAGGTTTCAACACGCAGCACAGTTTCAATTCTAGCAGCTGAAAAGCATGCATGGCTTTATCTAGCACTGATGTATATGGCACCACCTGATTTTCTTGTCCTTGCTACAATAAGTTACTTGGTGGCAGGTGGACCACATTCACCCCTAACTCCCCAGTGTTCCATTCCTCACCCATGTTATCTCAGATCCCTTCAGTCTTTGCACTTCCAGAACAGACTTACCTCACCACTAGCAGACCACAAGTTTAAAACCACTGTTTTAATATATTTATCTTTAGTTTTCTCCTGTAAAAAAGGCTATGTTAAGGTACCTAGGAAGGCTGGACAATGCTGTTTGTGTTTCCTAGTGGAGCGTGTGGATGGCTCTTAGCTGCTGCCAGCACCATGGACCACAGCCATGGGGGTCTTCTCCCTGTGCATCTGTGCTGTGCTTTGGAAAGATGTTGGGTACACAGGTTTGATAGCAGACATCAGCAGAGCTCCCTTCCTAGAGCTACATCAACTTCCAACTGACAGAAGTGTGCACTGAAAGAGCTGATGGCTCCCACAGCCATATTGTCACCACATTGACCTGCTCCTCAGCCTCAGGATACAAGCAGATCACACAACTATGCCCTCCCGGTATAATTCAGGAAGAGGAACAGGAAGTCCCAGCGCTGCGGTGTACTTTTGCTCCATGTACTACACAGAACAAGTCTTGAAATAATTCATTTTGCAATTTTTTTTTCTCCTCCATATCAGTAGGAGATTCTGGAGCTTCATGACAACTACTTACATTTCAGCGCTCTTAACTATTTCACCTGGGATTCTGGATAGATTTAGGGATTGAGGCTGATGTATATTGCCTGCCTTTCCCCAGGGTGTTCTTTACTGCATGATCCCTGAGAGAGCAGGAGTTACCTCCTAACTGCTGAGGTGGTCACTGAAGGACGACTCATGTGTGAGTGATTAGGAAGTGATTTTCAGATTTGGTACTGGAGCTACCACCTCACTGCCTTCTACTGCTGCCGGAACAGGGTGGATCCTCACCTCTTTAATTTCTCATCAGATGAATGACAGACTACTGGTTCTTTGCTTTGAAAAATATCACTGACATGCACAAAAACATAAATCCTGAGAGGGTTTATTCCAGTCTGGTGTGGTGTCTCTAAACATTTGTGTCTAATCAGAACATTTGATGAATGACATGCAAAATAGTGGCAATTCTCCCTATATTTCAAAGTTACTTGAAGGAATAAAATATTGTGTGGTGTCCATTGAATTTATCCTGGGGTGCTTCATGAACATTTGTCCATGGTAAGAATGTCAGCTGGGTTTTTCTGACAGGATTTCAAAGCCAGGCTATAATGCATTTAATATGGTTTTCTTTAAAGGCTTTTAATTAACCTTACACTGCGGACACATGACACTCTGACAGAGGAGTGTGCCTGGGCGCGTGGCTGCGGACATCCTCCGGCTTTTAGTTCAGCTTTCTCCACTTATTTACATTGGAACGCTTTTGACTTTGCTACGTATTTTTCCAGCTTTGTTCACTGCAATACAGGAGACCCAGTCAGTGCCTAACTGGGAATTTGAAAGCACTGGGGCTGCTTTATTAATTTGGGAAGTGATTTTCAGATTTGGTACTGGAGCTACCACCTCACTGCCTTCTCCTGCTGCCGGAACAGGGTGGATCCTCACCTCTTTAATTTCTCATCAGCTGAATGACAGACTATTGGTTCTTTGCTTTGAAAAATATCACAGTTCAATATGAAATAACAACACATCAAAGTTCCTTTTTTCAGGTAGTGGACAGACAGTTGATGGTTTGCCTGCTGTCTGTGCAGTGAGATAATGAATTCATTAAGTAGTTTAGAGATCCTTTTCCTTAGCTGGCAAAATAAGCATGTGGATGCCATCACTGAAAGCAAACAAGAGCCTTGGAATAACTCACAGGCACAACCAGAGGCAGGACAAACATGCAACAGTGCTCAAAACTTGCAATGAAAATCACGTCTGAGTAACAGGAGAGAGGTCCATTGCCAGTAAACATAACTACAGCCATATCCTGTGACATACCTGCATCCAGAGAAAGAGGAATCAGTAGCAGAAAGCAGAGGAACAAAGACACACGCTGCCTGGAAACCATGATGAACCCTGCGAGCCAGCGTCCCAGTAGTGTATTGACATTTCAGCAAGGACTGTTTGGCCAAAGAGCTCAGCTTCATGTGCTGGGAGGCAGAGGAGGGGCCAGCGAGTCATGGAAACAGAAAAAGATCCATGACAGCCTGGTGAGCTGAGCAGAAGGGCACATGGAAATCCTGCAACGTATCCTTTTCACACAAGCAGGGAGCTTGGTTTTGAAGCACGCTCTCCTGATCTGTGCAAAGGCTGTGATGATTACACAAGCTGCTACCCCAGGCCTTCATTTTCCATCTAACATGCCTTTTTCAAGAGAAACAGAAATGTCCAGACCCTGTACCCATATGACTGGCGCTAACGTGGCCACACAGCCCCGCATGCAGAGAGCCGTGGTGTGGCATTTATCTTGAATTTGCAGATAAAGGCCTATCAGTGCTTTGCAGAATGATTGAACCGCTGACATCTGTCTTTTCCCATTTCTCCATCACCAGCTGAAACCGCACTTCTGTCTGAATTTGCTTGGAGACACTAATTAACCAGCAAGAAACACCCTACACTGTTTTCCTCTGTCTGTATTGCAAGAGCCATGTGGCCCGTACAAGTTGTACCAGCTGGAAGAGGCGCTGCGCTGATCCACGTTTTATTTCATTAGCAACGACAGGGTGTGAGGGGCTAATCCCGAGACAACATTTTATCTGGAACACAAGCAGTCCTCTGATTTAATGGAAATCAATTAACGGCATCAGACCAGAGAGCTGACAACATTCTTAGGGAAATATTTACTTTAGATAGCAGTGAGGTAAAGAGCATGTTTGCCTGTGAGAAGTGAAGAGTTGCCTGAGAGCTGCAGTATTTTCCAGGCCATTCTCCCCATCCTGCATGGAAAGGAAGGAGGGTCAGCTCGGCATCTGAATGCTACAGCAAAGAAAGGCAACAGCTGGATTTTTACTTTGCTGCCAAGGCTCAGCGTGGGTCCTTGCAGAAGTCGCGATTGCTGAGGAAAGCCGGGCTCTCGGCCGTTCTTTGCATGCGGTTCTGTTAGTGGTGGTGCACAAGCCTGGACGTCCTGCTCTCAAATCGCTTTCCCAAGAGGGGACACCCAGGCACTTTTCTGGATCGCAGCCTGGCTAATTCCCAGCAGCCCAGTTCCTGGGACAGGCGGGGACAGGTGGCAGGTCCTGTCCCGGGGAAGAGGAAGGAGGCCGGTGCCTGGCATACAGAAAGAGCTACAGCAGCCCCACGCTGTCCCCATCTCTGCTTTTTGGGAACCCTCTGCATACCTCATAGCCTGCCAACACGATCCTCATCCTTTGTTCACTTGCCTACAGCAGGGAGTTGCAAATAGCAAGGGTGTGTTCAGCTTAGCCAGACCAAAGCTCAGCTTGTTGGAGCTGCTTGAAAATGCCTCTCTTTCTCTCATCTTCTTGGGGAAAGATCTAGCCCTATTTGAATGAGTCACGCAGATCAGAGCATGAGGCTGTGCCTCCCATACCTGAGGCCAGCCTGGGTCTGTTCCCATTACCCCCCTACCCCCAACTGTGTTTCCTTGGGCTGGGCAGGTGTCTCCCTGCCAGGGAGGGTGGAGTGGCCACCACTCCACAGCAGCATCACAGCACATCTGCACCCCTTCATTTTCTCATCTATTTTGCAGATGCTGAACATCTTTTAGGACTGATGCAGTATTTTCCTTCTTTCTTCCTTCCTCTAGTGGCATCCACTAAGCGTGCAAGAGTTTGCTTTTATTGCTTGGTAATACAGCCAAACACTTATTTTTAGAGCCCAGGGAGAAGCCCAAGTGCTGGGAACAACAGTCAGTTCATAAGGGGGCAGTTCTTCTTCCAAGAAAAATTAATGCTACTAAGTTTCATCAGGGATGACAGGGATGACCATGCCTATGAGGAGGGTCACTGGGGATTCAGCAGTCCCAGGACTTCATTACAGCACTTTGCTCACAAACTTTGTATTGCCAGATCTCGCCTCAAAGCTCTTTCCTACTAAATTCAGCCAGGCCAGTTCTTTGGTTTTTAAAGAAGAGCTCCCTTTCCTTACTGTCTTACACCTCAGCTAGGGAAGCAAATGTCAGTTCATTAGCTTTTCTTCCCCAGAAGATCCCCAAGTTTTATTTAAGTTTTTCTTCTTGTGTGGTTGTGCTGTAGTTTATGAGAATTGCTCTGGTATTGTGCTCTATAAATCTCCTGGCCAATGCAGGCTGCAGCCTTGGCTTATGTTTTCTGAGCAATTCCAAGAAAAATATTAACGCAAACATGCACCCCTGCCTCTCATGGGTCCTACGAGAATCGGTCTGGGGACAGTTGTTCAGAAAATGTGATTTAGGGTATTTTTTAATGTATGCTTTGGATGTGCCAACGTTGCTTTATTTAAGCATATAATATATTAAAAAAATAAATATGAAAAATGTTAACAATGTGAAATAAAAAAAATCTAAAGCAGAAGCATTAGCCTGGAAGACATGATGAACTGATGTCTCAGAACATAGCATTCTTTATTCTTATTCTGTTTCCTACTGAAATTTTTCAAAGAAAACTCTTATGATTTTGCTATTTTTAGTTTCATATTTTGGGCTGAAGAGAAGACAGGTATGGAAGCTATTTGGAACTGTGCAACTTGATCTGAGCCAACAGGTCACTACTCATCTAAACATGAGTTTTCTAGTCAGCACTCAGGAACAATTTTTAAAAAAATTAAATAAATTATTTCTGATTCAAAGAGGCCATAACAGATCATTTGAGTAAGCTGACAAGGCTGTGTCTAAGTAAGAAAGGTTTAGGAACAAGCTGCCTCATTAATTTATGGAAAATTCAATTTAAATCTCAAAAAAACAATAGTAACTTGTCACATCATTCATTTATCAGACTAATTAAAAGCAAGCCAAGCCTGTGATCAAGTTAATAATTTCCTGTTTCTGTTAAATTAATCTATAAATATAACGCTGCTAAGCTTTAAGGCAATTTATTTACTTTTTAGACCTCAAAAGAGAACAATTTCTTTCCAGAAGAAAATGACTTGCCTGTTGACTGAGTCCTGTATCCCTATAGAACAAATATTTTCCTAAAGAGGAAGTAGAAGATCAGGAGACAATATTTTTGATATTTTTTTTTGTGATCAACTCTGAATACAATATAAAAACTGGAAAGGTGATGAACGGATTCACTTCAATTGATTTGTCAAAGATAATATTTCAGCACCAAACCAGCTAATCTGAGTAAAAACTTTTCAGAATAAAAATGCAAAACTTGATCCTTGATTTTCTACCACCACCTTTAGGTTGCTGCTGGTACAGACGGTACTTGGGAGAGGTGCAAAGATGCCCAGCAAGCATATTCTAGTACATCATCTCTTCTTGTACATACAGGGTTCTTACTGCTACAGGGACTTAATGCCACGGGGGGGTTGGCCTGTCTCCGCAGGGCTCAGAGCCATGGAGGAGATGACAGCGATCCTCGTGCTTTGCCTCTGCCCCAGCCATGACTTGGCTTCTCCTTGCAAAGGGCTGAGGGACTCATCCTCTTGCTGCCCTGCTGGGTTGGATGAAGAAACGCTGCCACTCTGTCTTGCAGACTGCTTTTTGTGTACACCACACTGCTTTTTTTCTCTCGAGGATTTGTCTAGACACAACGCTGCCCCCAGACTTTTCAAGAAAAGGCTTGAGCTTTGGCTGAGGATGCTTCCCTGTCAACACCCTTTAGACTAAGCGAAATGGTTGGAGGCCACTGACATGAGGGGTGTGTGTTTATTTACATACAACAAGATGTTTTGAGCTAACCACCTACAACAAACAGCACATGAGCAGCCAAGGGAGGGAATGGATGCCAAAACAGCTCCAGCAGAGCCCTCCAGTGCCTCACGACCCTTGGCATCCCAGCCCCTGCCCTGCTGGGGGCCCTTTGGAGACTGTCCCTGGTGTGGATGTTGCAGAGGCTGTGGCCACAGGAGCAAGCATGGGTGGTGCCACTCAGGAAGGGGAATGCTGTGCCTATTCTGGGAGCTGATCCAGTCAAAAATCATCAGAGGAAAAGTGGGTGGATAACTGAGTTGCTCCCCAGAGCTGGCAGGGCCAAGGGTGCAGCACTTATGAGGTAGGAGAACAAGGAGGGGAGTTTGCTGCTGGACTGGCAGCAGCTAGATGCAACTTCTTCTGCACCCACCTGCCTCGTGCTTCCCTCAAAAAATAACCAACTTGTTCTGTCTGTGCTCTCCCCTCTCTGCCTTTTGATCTCTTGCTGACACTTTACAGCCCCTCGACCCATAGCACCCTGCCAGCAAGCCAGTCCCCCGCTGTCCATCCTTCCAGGCTGGCACAACGAGTGGCTGCTCAGGTGCCTGCAGTGTGCTGGGTGACAAATATCACTTACACACTTAAAAACTGCATTTCAGCCATGCAGAGCAACACCAACTCCAGTTAAATGAAAAAAGAGAGAGACACACAAAGTGACAGCCAGTTTGGGAAGTCAGGATTACTGGTTATCCTCCTCAGCACTGTTAGATAATTTCTCTTGAAAATGCATTTACTCAGCTGCATTATTTGCAGAGAGGTGGCAGTTTGTTTCTGCTTGCTGAGGGGCTTATCTGTGAAGAAAGCAGAGAGAACAAGAAGGAAACAAAGATGCCTCAGCAAGAGACGGGGATTTTTTAAGTCTGTTGGACAGCGTTTAAAGAGGACTTCTAGAAGTTGCCTGGAACAAAGTCAGTAGAGCACATCTAATACCTTTGCCAAAGGCCTTGGGTTGTCCTGCCGCAGCTGGCCTCACCCTGCCAGCGTGTTTGTAAAGGGCAAGAGAAGCTATTTATCAAGTGCGTTACTATTACAGGTCAGAAAACTGCTTCACCCTCTAAATGTCTTTACGTAGCCATTCATTTCTCTCCACCTGCTTATGGAAGGATCTTTCAAATGAAAGCCCAAGAAAAGCTACTTCAACATCTAAACATTTTTTGATAATATGTTATCTAGACACAGGTTACACTAGATCTTAGAGGACAACAGAATCT